GGGAGAAGCAGGCTTCCCGCAGAGCAGGGAGCCCGATGCGGGGCTCGATCCCAGGACCCTGGGATCATGACCTGAGCCGAAGACAGATGCTTAACCAACTGAGCCCCCCAGGCGCCCCGAGGGGCAGCGGTTCTTGTGAGTCAGACACAACTGAGGTGAGTCCCATGCTTGACCTCCAGCAGACACTGTAAATCAACAAACCACAGACTGAGGGAAATCATTTGTAAGGCTTACATCTGCAAAAAGGTTTATATCTAGAATTTACTTAAAAACTCTCCAAACTCAAAAATAAGAAAACAAATAGCCTAATTCTTAAAATGGGCAAAGATTTGAATGGAACTTCACCAAAGAAAATATAGAGATGGCAGGTAAGCACATGCAAAGCACAGAGACTGAAAGGAGAAGGGTAGGTCAGAGGCTAGGGGAGGAGAGTGGGGAGTTAGTGTTTAATGGGGACAGAGTATCAGTGCAGGAAGACGAAGACATTCTGAGGATGGACTTTGGTGATGGCTGCACAGCAACCAGTCCACTCAAAACCACTCCACTGTGCACTTAAAAATGGTTAAAATGGCAAATATAATGTCCTGGGTATTTTACCACAATTTTAAAATTGCATGAGGCAGCAGGTGGGGGTGACAGCAGGACTGGCTATGTACTTTGTGGGCTACAACGCCAAATGAGAACGTGGCGTCCCTTGTTCAAGAGATACTAAACATTTCAAGATGCAGTCGCAGAGCACCGAACAGAGCTGGTGCCCTTCTCAATGCGGGACCACATGCCAATGAGCAGGTCGCACGCACTCAGGGTCTGCTGGTTGAAAACATGGGCTGGTGTGAGGGGACTTGTGTTTGATCCTGCTCCCCCAACCTCTAACTCTGTGACCTTGCACCAGTCCAGGATCCTCATGTCCTAAATCAGCTCCACTGGGCTCGTTGGAGGGTTCAATGAGATAGTAATATGAAGGATGCTCAGCGCAGCACCTGGCCATTTGTGCTTGAAGAGTCATTTGTAGAAATGCACGAGTGCACCACTTTCCTCTCCTAAGTATGTGACAGCATTTTAGAAACACACCTTAAATCGCAACCGTAGGTCATGCTCTTCAGTGTGGCGGAGTGTTTGCATCAGACCTGGGTGCACCATCGACCAGCTGTGCCATCTCAGAAATCTGATTAACTTCCAGGGAACCTCAGTTTTCATGTTTGTACAGCACCCATAATAATCGTTAGAACAGAGGCTGCACATAATAGGTGCTGTTTACACAGTAGCGATTATCCTCTCGCTTTATCCTGTCGTCTGGGATGAACCCTGCACAGCACAGCACACAGTTTCATATTTAGCATAATTTCCCATATAAACTACTAGGGATTCAAAGAATTCTATCACCATCTTCCTGACTTGTTTCACCTCTTTTTTTTTTTTTAAGTAAGTCTATAGAAGAGATCAGACTAAGGTAGCTAAATAACACAATATTCTATTTATTTGAATTTCAACAGAAACAACGGAGGACCTGCAAATAAATGGGTGAATGTTGTGTGATTGATGTTTAATCAACTGCAAAGTGTTTATAGAGAAAGGACTGATCCTGAAATCACTTGAAAATGCAACTATTATTCTAAAGGACTCTCAGAAGTAAAAACAGCCAAATACTCTTATTTTTAATTTTTTAGATGCTTTTTTTGGTATAGTTTCTTTAATTTTGACAAAAGTTCCTTTAAAAACTCATTTGAATGTTCTCTTTAACGGAGTAGGAGTTGCAAACGCTCTAGTAATTTTTTACCACTTTCATATTTAAAAATAATATGCCCTCTAAACATTTACATTCAAGATTTGTTTTTCCTCAGATGTGTAAATAACACATAGTAATTTGCATCTCATGCATAAATCTCACTCTGTTGAATACAAATATGCAGGAAAGTTCCTTGTTTCTCTTCTCTGTTTCCCCCGCTCCTGGTAGTTTGGTTGACTAATTTTGCCAGAAAGATGAGGAGGGGGCCCTGGTTGGCAGTTAGAAAATGAATCTCTTGGCACTGCTCTCTTTCAGGGGCAAGGAACTCAGAGCTGAATAAGTAGCTCAGTCTTTTACAATACTAATAAAAATATTTCAATCTTTAATATTTTCCCAGATGAATGTACTAATGTGTCCTTTGTTAGTGACATGTGTAGATGCTGCCTATCCGGGGATTTATCCAGAATGCATTTGCCCCTTGGGTTCCTTGTGGAATGTGCCTGACTCAAATCAATTTCACTTCCCCGAGCCCTGGAAAGAAGGTGGGCATCCAAGCAGCAGGCTTGGTAGACTGAGGTTGCTCCCTGGCGTCTCACGTTACCATTCCTTCACCACCGGGACATTGCATTTCCAGAAGTTTGTCTTGGCCTTGTATTGATCATGTCTGGTTAAACTCTGAGGCTTGTTTTATATTCCAAATTTCCCGCACCACTGGTTTCTTGCCTACTGATCATTTGCTGGGTTTCAGCCTGGCAAAAGATGTCTCAGGGAGCCTCACCCCCATTATAAAATGTGACTAAAATATTTCATTGAGTCGTCTGCCCTTGGTGCAACTAACTCTTTTTAGCAAATGTCTGGTGATGCTTTGAATAAAAGATGCTACATGAAAATAAATTGCAATGTTCTCTGCTTCTGCTGCTATTTATGTGTATTCTCTTTCTACCATTAGAAATTGATCTTATTTAACTTTTAAGGTCTTCTTCATATAAAATGGGCAAAATCTGGTTTTCTAAAATTATTTATTCATTCTTTTTTTTCCCCTCCACTTATTCTCCAAACAATTTACTAGGTATGCACTGAGCACCTGTCCCAGCTAGCTCCATGTTAGGAGACAGGAAGCACATTGCAGGGTCCTGCTCTTCAGGAGAGCAGGTGTTTGAGAAGACAGATGTCTTCAGGACTCACAGATGTGAAGCAGCTAGATAACAATACCAGGCAGAATACAATGAGATCAAAGACAGCGAGAGCTTGAAGACTCCAGAAAATGGAGCAGAGTGTGGGACATGCATCAGTGGGATACTAATATTAGACGTTATTATCAGACAATATTGATAATAGAGAGAATCCTATCAGTGTAGTTATCACGGACCAGGTACCAAGTGCCAGATCCTGTACTTTGTTTATGTATTCCCTTGACGGATGCCCACGGCCACTTGGCAAAGTAGGCATCGTTGTCCTACTGTACGGAGTTTGAGAAGCGTCCTTGCGGAGGAGGCTGGGATTGAGCAGAATTTGGCAGAGGTAGACTGTGAAGAGCTGTTGAGGAGAAAGAAGGCATTTCCTGGGGAAAACAATGAACGTGTCAGGAAGACCTGGCCCCTGAGGTTCAGGGAGAGGTGGTGGGAGCAAGATGCGGCCAAAGCCAAGAGCGGGCTTTGGGGTGATGGAAGATGAGGTTACTTAGTGAGGTAGCGGTGGATTCGGGTCAAGTGAGGTGTCCCACGGCGGGCGTGCCGGAGTCTGGACTTTGTCCTACAAGCCATGGAGCTTCCTGGGAGGTATTTGGGTGGTAATGACTACATAGAAGGCCACACTCAGCCATCGGACGGTTCGGTGGCTTAGTAACTGAAATGAAACATCCTCCTCAGGGGTTTAGTCTTTACTCGGTTCCCGTCAGGGTGTGGGTGTTTTGTAGAAGAGTAGTGAGGACACTAAAGTTTACCCTGGCTTGGCATCCTGGCCGAAGTCATTTTTCTGAGGGCACTGACCTCGGTGGCCCCTCCACCCTTAGGCACACACACGCATGTGCACACACGAACATGTGCACTAACACACACACCAGAAAAGAGAGCCACTGGCTGCCGTGTTTGTCACCTGTAACCCCAGGCCCTTACCAGAGATCCAAGCTGTGCTGGCAGGATTATCTCCCCTGGGAATTCAGAACTGGGGACCTTTCTACCCGTGATGATTCTACCCTGTGGTACGTCTTCTCTTACACTGAGGTATTGTGATCCTCAAGAGAGGCAGCAGGGGCAGGGGGAGCAGGCAGAGAAGAAAATCTCTGTGTACTACACCTTATGGAATTATCTTTTGTTTTGCAAATACCATTTTTAAAGGGGAAAATGATGGAATATTGGCAGTTTTATTTATTTATTTTTTTAAAGAGTATTTCTTTGACAGAGAGAGACAGAGAGAGAGAGAGAGAGAGAGCACAAGCAGGGGGAGGGGCAGAGACGGGCAAGATAAGAAGTTTCTAGCAGTTTGACTATGGTCTGCCCGAGTTTGGGTTTGCATTTGCCAAAGGTCAAGGGTGTACAGATAATCTGGAAAGCCCCATTGTTAAGGCATATGGCGCTTTCCTCTGTAACTAGGTAAAGGGATGGGACAGTGGATTTCCCTTCACCTGGAATGTTGTCTTCATTTGGAAGAAGAAACTCTGTGAATCTCTTACCAATTTATTTTTTCAAAGCACACATATAGGAGAAAAAGTCTAAAAGTAAATAAGGCACTGTAATATTTATTAATTCAGTTGATGAGAAGTTGAGTGATTATTATTATATTTGTAACTTCTAAAAAATTATTTGTTTCAAAGGGATTTGGTGATGTTTAGGAAGAATCTGCATTTGCTCAATCCAGGTTCTGCACCCAAACTCAGCCAACTAGACTTTTGGAGGAAGGAGAGAAGCTGGGAGTTAATAAAATTCAGTTTCGTCCCCTTGAAAGAAGACTGTCTCAGTGTGCATTCAATCAGGGATCTCTGTAAATATTTATTCTGCTATTTCTTAAAGGGGTTATATGTTTACAGGAGAGAAAGTGGTGCTGACTGAGATAGGGCACATTCTGCTCCTTGGCGGACGTTGCCCTCTGTGGGAGCATTGCCCTGAGAGAGCATGCCGATTAGCAGGAAACCACTGTTCTTAGAATGACACCACCCTGTTCCCAGGCAAATGGTCCAGGCTTAATCAGCTGGCCTGAGTCGTGGTGTCACACAAACCCAAACGTATCAGTTCGTGCTCTTTTCAGGCTCCATTCACAGAGCAGGCATAGACGGAGGCCGACTGTGGGCTTCCGTGCTCCTTTGCCCCAACTAATTAGAGGGAGGCAGGCCAGCAGCACTCCTGCCTCTCTGTTTCCCAGCAGATTTTATGGTGAGTGGACTTGGCCTTCGGCCTGCCTGTGCATGCTTTAGAGACTCAAGACCCTCCTCTGATCGGTATTGCTTTTCTACATCCATGAGGG